TGTCCGATTTGTAGAGATAGAAAACAACGTTTCAGGACCAAAATGACTGTCCGCGTCCGGTTACGGGAATGTCCATAACAGGAGGTTTCACTGTATATAATTAATGTAAAAAAAAATTTTAAAGCTTTATATATATATATATATATATATATATATATTAAGCTTTAACAAATTTTTTTACATTAATTCTTTGTCAATTCTCTTTCTTGATTCATTATTCAGAACAAAACCTGTTCACATAACTAATAATTCACATCCTTTTTTAAAAATTGATTAATGTATGCAGATACAGAGGTAACAATTTTAAGTTTTTCTCTTAAGGAAGCAAGAGATTCAGAGAAAACTCTCAACCTACTTTATAGACCTATTATTATTAATAATATTTTCCTTTTCCGTGCGACTTAAGAGATGACAGGGAAAAATTTGTGAGACTTTCCCTAACATAAAACTCAGGCCCATTGATTTTAGTGTGTGATTTTATGCTCTCCAATATTCTAATATGTCTAAATAAAGAACATCTTTTCTCCACCCTGCCTGATTTCCTGCATGAAGAACAATCAACTATTGACACCATGTCTAGCCTTCAAGGATAATTATTTGATTGGGCAGGGTAAGTGAAAGGAAGTAAGAACATAATAAACATCCATTAAAACAGTGAGCACACAATGTTTTTCTCCAAGGAATTGATGCTTCACTGAGTGGTTGCTGAGATACTATGCTAGATACTATGCCATGTTGCTCAGAAAGAAGAAAAAGTGTATAGAACTGCAGTTGTTGGTAGAAAGAGAAAGAAAAAACTGATTTAAGACTGTGATAAAATTCGCTTAGAGCGAAAAAAGAAACAAAAAAATGAAACGAAGAAAAAGATGGAATGATGAAGAAAAATAGTTCTGAATTCCTCATCAATTTCAGCTAATCGGATAACGCAAACTACCAAAATATGGAATTTCTTGCAAACAAAAACAGTGTTTGTTAATTGTTGCTTGGTGAAAGAAAAAATGGTTTTCCCTCTTCTATTTGATGGTTCCAAAGAATATGCGCTCTTATGATGTTGTGCTTTTAAGAGGATTAACAAACCTTTTTTTTTTTTTTTCAAATATGAAATATGAGCATGTTGAATATGAAATATAAGCATATGAGAGATACATATGAAAGACAAAATATAAATGTTGCTTCACATTCTGAATGTGATCTTCAATACAAGTGATTGCTGGTATACTAAAAATTATTCATGTTGCAGAATCATTGAAGGAAATATGTGATTTAAGGAGAAAAAGATATTTTTAAAGTAATATTCTGAATGAAAACAAATTGTTCACAGACATTATTTCTTTTATATGTGTTAACTATAAGGTACAGATTTCTTAATATGTATATACTTCTGCTCTATTGACAATTTTTAAATCTATACAACAACATAATTTATGAAAGCAAAAATATTGATATTGATTAAAGGTTATAACACTTTACAGTTTTGATTCCAAAAAGGGAATATTTTAAACTTAAGGAGATAATATTTTTGGATGATTTAAAACAAAATAATATAGGGTTATAATCAACTATATTAGTTTTATTCATTTTGATCTGTTGATTTTTGTGGTCAACACCACAAACAGATAAATTTTAATAATATAAACTAAACTAAGCGGCGTGACAGCCCATAGAGGGCCAAGTCCGACTGTGCCCATCTCAGTTTTCTTGACCTTGGGCTGCAATAGCAAATGTTCCGGTTAGGTGGTCAACCGAACACGGAACCCCCAGTGTTTAGTTCCCAAGCATGCTTGGTACTCATTTATCGACCCACTGAAGGGATGAAAGGCTGTTTAATAATATATGTCTGATATTTTAAACAAGGATCTTCAAGCACATGATTGCTGAGATTAGAGACTGTTTTCTTCCTTTTGAGGATTGCAGCTCCTTATCCAGGAAATATATCCTTAAAAATAATGAAATCTTAAACTGCAGAATAAAGACTATTATGTTTTTGTTTTTTTAATAACATAAACAACATTGAAGTCTTCTTACTACTTAGACTTTCGCTTATAACAGAATGTGTAAACTGTTTTTCAAATTTTTATCTTTCAAGTTTTTGAATTTTTATAATTCATGTTTTTGAGATTTTACATTTTAAAGTATATATAAAAACTTTCCATTTTAAATTAGAAATGTGTAATGATGAAGAATATTTCTAAATGAAAACTTTCACGCACTTCAAACAAATGACTTAGAGTTAAATAACAAGAAATCATTATAACTGTTAAGAATGAATCATAAATAAAGTGTCAAATAAGGTTCAAGAATGGTAAGGCTAAGGGTTGAATTGGTATATTACACATGTAACTTTTCAGGCGATGTCTTCATATACAGAACTCAAAATTATAAAATCAGTTTTATAATTCTTAATTCCTACAATGTAAATATAATGCCACTATTATAAATTTATAGAATTTATAACGCACATGGCAACCTTGTAAAAACAACTGTTGATTTTCAAAGTCTTTAAAGAAGGGAAGTGAATGATACAAATGGACAATTCCAAGTGAATGACACAGATGGACGATATCATATTACGAGTTTCTTTGTATTTATAAGTTTATTCTTTAAAAAAGAATACAATACTTATTTAAGAAGCTTGAAAAACATACTCAAATACTATGAAAATTTTCTTAAATAGATATGACGATTTTCTGAAACTCATATTTCGAGCTGTGTCCATCTTCTAAATCTATATTTTTAGCAGTGTCCATTCTAGCAACACACATTTTGTTCTGTGTTCAGATTTGCAAACTCACTGATGTAATAGTTTTTGCTACACTGAATGAGGGGATGCAAAAATACCATCTTCAACTTGGATGTAAAATAATTTTAAATATATAATAAACACATCAATAACATTTTAATCCCTGAATGCTCTTTAATCACTTCTCTAAAAATGTGAAAAGTATTATTTATATATTGTGTTTTTATTTTAGTTATTGAAAAGTTAAACAGGTGTAATACTAAATTTCATTTGTGTCTTCAAAATAAAATGAGAGAAAATGAACTTTTGTAAGTATGCCGAATGACCAAGCAAAATTTTCCAATTGATAAAAATCTTTAGGAGATAACCCCCACTTCTATTTAGTGATGAAATGTTAGATGTCTTTTTTCAGAAATAAATGTAAAAATTAATAAATTTTTAAATAATAAAATTATAACATTTTAAAAAAATGAAAATTTATAAAAAATTAAGAAAATACTACTTCATAACATAAAGGGATCTTCTAGGTAAGAGGCAGTCCACCACCATATTTTTATTTTTTTCTGATACAAGTCTCATTACTGATGAAGAAAGCAGTGACAACCCAACTATGGTATCACCACAGAACTAAAATAAAAATATTATGAGTTAGACGATTGAATAAATATGGAAAACAAAAATACACTGCACATTAATATAAATTTATGATTAACTTTAAAAATTTGTATAAATTTTTAACTAACTACAGGAATATGAATAAAGAGCATCCATTAAAGTTCATTCCCCCTCTTAAAGCCAGTGGCACTATTGCCAGCTTCAATCTACATATCAATGTTAGTTTATGGGAACAGTTTTTTCACTTTTTCTCAATAACTTATAGCCTAACAGTTTAATTTGTTATATTAATGAACACATCTCATGTAAACTGAACAGCCTGATGTTACAAATTATTTTTAAAAGCCATTAATAGTTTTTTAAACAACTTTGAATGTATTTGTAGAGCAATTTTCACAATGTCTTTATTAAGTTATTTTTTAAGTTGCATTCCCATACTTTAAAAAAAAAACATATAAGTACATAATTAATTTATATTATAAACCAAATGGAAATATATAAAGGGATGTATTACAGTGGAAAGTCCCATATCTGGAATGCCCGGGACTTTGGCAAGTCTAGAAAATAGATTTTTCCGAATAATAGGTCTTTATGGTAAACAAATAACAAAACATCCTGATTCAATAAAAAATAACAAAAAGAGGATAATTAACGTCAATTCTAATCAATAACGAATAAATCCAAGTGGAATGCATGGTAGAGCTATTTTCGCAGCTTTTGTTACAGATTTCCATATGGTTTTTAAAATCTCGATATTTTAATAAGCTATTATAACATACCGAGAATTTGAATTGTGCATTTCAGTTTGTAATTATTTCTCGATCTACTAGATTAGCAATGATTCCACGGTAAATCCGTGTGGCTTCGAGATCGTTTCTCTGTAGTTATTTAGGCGGATTTCACTTGGTTTTTAAAATTTTAATGTTTTAATACAATATTATTTCATTTGGCAAACTTCGAATCACTCATTTCCCACTCAATTATAGACAATTTACCCATAATTCTTTAAGGATTTATGATCGCATTTTTGTCAGTTACTTCTACGGATTTTCATAGTTTTTTAATGATACATTATAATGAATCGGAAATTTCGAAGCTCGCATTTGTAGTATTACTTTTTGATGCGCCCGATTTGTGACGATTTTATTGTCCACCAGGTTTTGTCCATTGCATTTTCAACATTTGGAATTTTCACATAGTTTTTAAAATTTTGATTTTATTTTTAATATATCATTCCGATCCACAAATTCCTAATCGCTCTTTCTGTTGTTGTACTTAACAGGCCTTCCTTTATTCCCAATAACATCCTTAAGCAAATAGGCTACAGAGTAGTATCTTGCCGTAATAAGAGAACACAAGGAAATAATAATGTAGCTCCAGAAATATCAATTTATTTGATGATTCTGACAGGTGATCATATTACAGATGATTAGGTGAAAAGAGAAGGTACATACTAACAGCTACACATTGAGATCTGTACTGAAGCACAGAATCCCTCCTCCGAAAAACTTACATTGCAGCCACATCAAACAAAAAGAGAGAGAGAGCATGGTTAAGTCTTGGCCTTTTAAACATGGAGATTTAGCAGCATCGACCAATTGCCAGCTACTGAGGATCTTGCATAAATTAATTTACAGATAGATGAAGATTTGAGTAGTCAGAAGAACATTCAGGCTGTTGGCAATTAGCATATTTTCTAGGTAAATCCCATTCTCTATATTAGGTAATGCCTGAATTTTAATCTAAATAATTCTTCCTGTTAATAATATCTACCATATTTTCTGGTAAAAGTGTCGCATCGTCCCAAATCGATAAAAATTTAAAATATTTTTAAAAAAGTTATCATACATCAAAAAATAATAAATCTATGTCAAACAAAACATCTGTTCTTAAAGCAGTTTAAAATAAAGTGAAAAGTAAAAACACCTGCATTTCCAATGAACAAAATAAAGAAATGCAAGTTGGAAGAAACTGATCAATCAATCTTGACTGCTGTGCTTGTACCCTACTGGTTTGTCCCCACATTTCCCTCTCCTGTTCCATAAATTGGCCACACCCAGTTGACATTGAAATTACCAAGTTGGGTACAAAATGAATTCTATCCCTTTTGCGTTTTTTTTATTCAATTTATTTATTACGGAAAAATACGGTAATTTAATTCAATAGAATATTGAATTTGATGCAATAACTTACTATACCAACGCCTTTGTTTACATTTCTTTCCTATGTGAGATCATCTGCAATAAAGGAAGCTAGGTTAGAGAGTGACGTAACCCTCTAATAGTGACGCCAAATGGCAGTAATTTGCCCTTCAGTCAATCTGAGAGCGACACCTCTCCAGAGCTTTGGGAATGTTGTTTGTTTCATATTTAAATAGATGTTTCACAGTAACTTGTCTTTTTTTCTTAGTTACATTATTCATCGTTTGCTCCAGTGGTTTACTGATATCCAAGAGTTAGAAAGATGCCGGAGGGCAATTATGGTTTTATTAGAAAACCGCCAGTATGCCAAATTACATTTTTAATTAATTGTTTTTGAAATTTAATATTTTGAGATAAATAAATTACAGTTTATTTTAAAACTTAGTCATTATTTAATTCAGTTAAGATATTCCATGTACTCTGCTAATTTCCCGCCTAAAGAGAAACACCGGTAAACAGACATCCGGATATGGAACTGTGTACTGTATCAAAAAAATTTTTTTTAACAAGCTATGAAAAAATATTTGGCTCTTAAATCGTTCTCAGTTCCCCCCTTTTGTTTACAGGTGGCTTTAAGTGGAAATCACCAATCCGTGAGTAGGGGAACATCAGTGAATTTTTATGGTCATTGTAAATAAATGAATAATCCATGGGAGAATTTCAATGCAACTGTTTTTTAAAGAGGAACCCTAGATGTAGCAGTTTTATTTGTCATAGTGAAGCAAGAATTTTGAAATAGAAATGAAATATATATAATATTAAGTAGCTATTAAATAGATAAATAATTTTAAAACCTTATGTTTATTAAAAAGAAGTTACAAAATATAGTTAAAATTGGATGCATCATCTATTCAATGTTTTGGAAGCAGATCAATAAAAATACTTAAAAAGCTAATTTACTTTTATTTATTTATTTTTTTAAATTTATGTCAACTTTCTAAAATCTAAAAAATAAATTAATAATAAATATCAAATTGATAATAATTGATCTTATTTAGCAATGTTTATCATGTGTATAAAGTTTCATAAGTTCATAATTTACTTGTTATGGTGGTACATTTCTTTTAGCCATAACATGGTGATATATAACTTTCAACAAGGGAAGAAACTTTTTTACCAACCTAAATATGATTTTAAGCACCAAGCATGTTTGAGAACTAAGTACTGGGGGTTTTGCGTTCGCACCCCAGAGCCCAAGTTCAAGAAAACTGAGATGGGCACAGTAGGCCTTGGCCCTCTATGGGCTGACGCACCACTGAGTTTATTTTAAATATGATTTTAAGTATATTGTCCGATAGATTAGATAGCAATCATTATATTCTTTATGAACATTAAATGAAAGTATAATTTATTATTAAAATAAAAACTTTCCTCCTTCCTTACAGTGGATTTTCCTGTAGAAATATTATGTAGCTGTTATTGCATTTAAGCATTGTCTGTCAGAAAAAGAAAGATAAATTGAAACCTGATACTTATTGGAATTAAGAAATAATGAAATTAAAGCTAAATTTTAAAATTTAAAATAAAATAAAATTAAAAATTTAGTTAAAAAAATAAAAATTAAAACTTTACTCCTAATTCAAAGTTTTGAATACATAAAACAAAATAGTTGTAACAATGCCTTGATTCCAAAATTTATTATTCTAAGATATAGATGGATTTAAATAATAAAATAATCAGGAAACTCATAGACAAAATTAGTAGCTGAAACTCGAACTGACCCCCAAAATTAGTAAGCCAGAAGAGACAACAGGTCATTGAACTCTTGGATTTGTCTAGGGTTTGGGGATGGAAATTACTAGTTTTTATTCATTACCAAACTTGCCTTCTGATCAGTGACATGGGAAACTATCACATTCAAGTAAATCGAAATAATCGAATTGTTTTTAGGCAAATCAAAAAGATGAACAGTTAGAAATCAAGAGAAACAATAAAGTCATACTATTTAAAAATGTGAAACACTTATTTTTTGTTTTCAAATAGTTAGTACATGCATTACAGAAGTAAAAAAGATAAAGAAATAGTTTAAAATTCCTTCCAGTAATAGTAGGTTTTATTTTCACCATATACAATAATTTTAAATTGTCTAAGAGATTGCAATATGTGTCTATTTAGAAAAAGTATTTCCTTAAAAATGGAGCACATTTCAAGCTTCACTTTGTGATAAGATTAACAATTGTTTAAGTCAGTCAAATTCTAAAAAATAAAATATTTATGAGAGAAAAAAAATTAGAGAATTCACAGAAAATAATTTGAAAATCATAGTCCAAATTCGTAAAACAACCGTCTAAGAGGATCTTTTTTCACTTTTTGTCTCACTATCTCAATTCTTTTTACCCGCTGTTCTTAAGAACTTATGTCTTTCTCAATTTTGATGTCATCATGTTTTTATCGTAGCTTGCTTCGCATTCTTTCCTTTTTATATTATCCCATAAGAAACAGATCTGAATAATCTTTTTGACTTATTTAACATGTTTTTCAGTAACAGAGAATTATTACATTATTTGAGCATGATTTTACATATAAATATAGAATTTTGTTTGTCTAAATATAAAATAATTAGTACCCAAAGCCTGCTATTCAATATTCCATATTTTGTAATGATTAAAAATCAAACTTACTTTGATACTATCCACGTGTGGTTTTATGTAGCCATTCTTAGCAAGATCTAGAATATGAATTTGTTTCATAGGCACAGTGTCACTTGGAAAAGCCAATTCTCTAACTCTCTGTAAGACAAAGCTATTTTTTTCATTCCATTCCAATTTTTCAGTTTCTCTATAACCTTCTATTGCCTAAAAATTAAAAGAGTGTCACCTTTAAAAATATGAAAATACACTTAATTTCAAGTAATGTTTACTTTTTATAAGAAACTTATGCCATTTATTTCACAAAATTTAATTGAAATGCAAATAAATAAAATTTTTTACAATCTTTCTGTCAATAATTATATTCTGATTAAATACTCCGATTCTTCAAATTGATAATTTTAAAATCAGCATTTATATTCGTAGAAAATGGTGAGTTCTAAACACACTAAAAAATAAGGAATATTGAACTAAATACCATGAAAATAAGAATAACTATGAATCCTCTATAGAATTTTGATAACAAGGTAATTGTAAACTGAGGTCTTTGAGTACATGGGGTAAAAAGATGAGTGTAGGACAGCAGAAGAAAAAAGAAGCAAATTTAATTTTTTAATTTCATTTTTGATTTCTTTTTCTATCTGCAGCAGTTTAAAAAAATAATTTTTGAAAAAATTTTACAAAAGAGGGGGGGGTAGAAATTGAATGTTTTTTTATGTGATAAGAGTTTTGATAGTTAGTTCAAGTACCGAGTGAGTGTAGTTGTTAACTGACTGATAGTTTTAAGCAATTTCCTATCTGTGACCATAAAGTTCGTCTAGATACTCATCAAAGAGCTTCGCTGATTATCTAGTCATGGTTCTCGTAGAGTGCTGTTCTATATTTTATGTTCCGTTAGGTCATATTCAGGCCGAAAGCGTTTGTATTGATAATTGTAGCGGTATTTTTACATATTGCTCTTCAAGAGCTTGGTATTGTGTGTTTTTGATTTCTTTTTCTACCTGCAGCAGTTTAAAAAAATAAATTTTGAAAAATTTTACAAAAGGGGGGGGGTTGAATTGAATGTTTTTTCATGTGATAAGAGTTTTGATAGTTGGTTCAAGTACCGAGTGAGTGTAGTTGTTAACTGACAGATAGTTTTAAGCAATTTCCTATCTGTGACCATAAAGTTCGTCTAGATACTCATCAAAGAGCTTCGCTGATTATCTAGTCATGGTTCTCGTAGAGTGCTGTTCTATATTTTATGTTCCCGTTAGGTCATATTCAGGCCAAAAGCATTTGTATTGGTAATTGTAGCGGTATTTTTACATATTGCTCTTCAAGGGCTTGGTATTGTGATGCCAATAAATGGTCATTATTTTGTTTTATGGAGTTTGTCTTATGTCAACCCTACAACCAAATTTAAATGGGTTATTGTGGGCATTTGTTTAAAGTTGTATTACCCTTAACTGTAATTTACTAGTTACTTTACACATGTAATAAGCAAAGTCATAATCCACAACACTATTGGTATACATAAGAAAATTCAGGAATATCAGGGTAGAAAATTAAAAATCAGGACAAAATATTTTTCATTAGGAAAATTAGGACAACTGCAATTGTGACAAAAACGAAAAGGCGGTAAAAAATATTGATAAAAAGAGTAACATCATTTAAGGGCTATATATTCTTAAAAGTCGTAACTATTTTAAGAAATAGTAACTTTAAGCAAAAAATGTGATCATGTTAAAATAATGAAGCGTGTGCTACCACGATATTTTAGTTAAAAGGGCAAAAATGGAAAATTTAGCAAATTATTCAATAGCATATAATATGTAGAGAATAGTTTTCTACCCCATCCCAGTGATCAAACTGATATCGTCGTCTTTTAAATATCGGATCGATTTCGTTCATAAGTTCAATTTCTTCATCCTCCGTTAGAAAGTTCGCATATAGTTTGAAATCCTTATGAACGGATTCCGTAACTTCCCCAGACAAATAGTTCACAGCATTAAGTACATGATTCTCTACATTTCTGGAAACACTTCTCAGATAATGAAGAGTAGTTGCTACCGTTTGATATTTCATGCATGTAAAAATAGAATACAACATTTTACAACTGCAAAAATAGGCAGATATATATAGGTTGATAGGCAGATATATTACAGGGTTATTTTATCTTAAAATTAAAACAATGCAACACAAAATATTTTTAATTAATTTCATATTTATCATCATTATCTAAGCTTTTATAAATTTAATACTTTAATTTCATTTAAAAACAAATAGGTTTTGACTGCTTGGTTCTGTGTAGTTTATGATTATTTCAAATCATCACTTGAAGTAATTCGATTTCACGTCGCAGTCAAACAAAAGACACGGTGTAGACACAGCTGTGACTCTTCTCACAAAGATTACAAGCGAAAAGTGTTATTCCTTTACTTATATCTGGACTCTCCATGCAGTAAAGTTTTGTTATGTTTAAACGTTGTTTGTGATAAATATAATAGCGTGCTTTATAAAGGTTCAAGTCAATTTGCTTTCTGAGTTAAGAAAAAAATAATTAAATTTATATTCGGCAAAAATTTATAAGGAACTGACAATATCTTATTTTATTGGTGATTACTGATTCTTAATTTAAGATCTCCATAAATCGAATTAATGGCTACTGATAATGTAAATAATTTTGGAGTCCAGTTGGTAGATGACGTTGAAAAAGAAATTGATAAAGAAGTATCGGTTAATGGTTCTAAAAACTTAGTTGAAAATAATAATCCGGATTCTTTTCAAGAGATTTCTGTTGAAAATCGAGTGAAAAGGAAAGCTAAACGACCGTCTAAACTTGTAGTTAGCGAAGAAAACAGCGTTGGTAATGTTGTTAATGTGAATGGCTCATATTTAAGGTATACTAAAAACAGTCGTAGATCTAGGAATGGTTTAGGACGTGGGCTTCCGAAGAAGGGTGAGTTTAACATTGATATATTTTCATTGTTAAGATTCTGTTTGTTAACATCTGGATCTGAATGAACTATGTATAAATTAAATATGTTACACGAAAATGTTAAAAAAAAATAATTTCGGAAACAAAATAGGTTATATATGTTAAAAGTAGTTAGAAAATTTTGAAATCTTTTCTGTGGAGACATAGTGTGACTTCGGTTTTGTCGCAAATAATAATGCCATTTTTTTTTTCAAATAATTTGACTTTAAAAGAGAAAGAACTACATTATAAAAAAAAAGTTTTTACATAGTTTGCAAGAATAGGGGCTATTTCCATACGTGCACCTCCCATCCGTGCAAAGAAAAAAAAGTCATTTCATCATTCAGGGGTCTGTCCAGGCCGAATTTACTACCGTTTAGCGGTACCTTCACAAATTCAACTTTAGGAAAAACGGTAGTTTCACAAATTTAATTTTAGGAAAAACGGTAGTTTCACAAAATATTTTTTCTTAAAATTTTATTTTTGTATTCCTTAAGAAATGATAAGTCCATATTCTTGCCATATTTTTGTGTTAGATTTTTAAACATAATTTTTAATTTTTCACAAATTATGTCTAAATTTTCACAAAATAGGTACCGCTCAGAAAAACCTTGACAGACCCCTGTCATTACAATATCAAATATCCACATCAAATGCAATCTCGCCCAAGTTATTCAATACGTTTGATTCTCCTATAATTCCATTGACATCTCCTTGATAACTTCATTATAACTCAAGCCAAATTGTTATCAGCTATCACCAAACTTGGCGAGAAAGAAAAATCGCCAACATGGAGTGCAGATACCTAACAAATATGTTCCTTTACTTTTGTTAATAAGCATTTTACAGTTAATTTATTTTAAAATAAACTTTTGTGTTGCATAATGTGATAAAAACCATTTCTTTCCCCCATCTTTGTATATAGATTGATAAATCTATTTTTTGATAAGAAGGAAATTGTTGAAAAATTTGGTTATACACCCTGGAGAATTTTCTATGCTTTCTGTCTTTTTAATTTTCCCAATATTTTTGGATTACTTTTTTTTGTGTCCAAAAATTTTATAAATCAAAGTATACTGACTAATATTTTATATTCTGCTTTGTTTTTATTTATTAAGTTTAAAACCAGCTAAGTTTTAAACAATGCTCTAACTATTTTATATATTTTTGTATTAAGTAGCATTTAAATTTATAGGTGGAGCTGGAGGTAAAGGTACTTGGGGTAAGCCTGGTAGTGAACTTATGCTAGAAGTTGAAGATATAGTTTCTGATATTCATGATCCTAATTATGATGATGAGAATCAGGTAATTAAAAATTAAAGTGGATAATTTATATGTGATAAGTAAGTTTTTGAATTTAGAATTTTTAACATATTTTCTGAAGGCTTAACTGAGGAAACATCTCCAAATAAATTAACAGATGATAAGAAAAAAATATGTGTACACGTGGATTTGAACCAAGGTTGGCATTTTGTCCAGTTATAACTACCCAATTGTTTTGCAATAGGTATTACAATAATAGTTTGTCTTAAATTAAATTTAATATAGTGCAAGAAAGTTAAGGGTTTTTCACATCTACTTTTAAAAAAAATATTGTTTATTTTAAATTTATACATAATTTTAAGGTGTATGTACCATAATATTTAAGAAATTAGTTTGAGTATTCATATTTAACGGTGCTTTTGATTAAAAAAGTTAAGAGGCTATTTGTAATTTTGAAATCAATATGTAATTTGTAGTTCGGAAATTTATCTACTGCTCAGTGACCAGTTGTCACATTTTTAACCGTAGACACTTTTAAAAACATGTGGTCACTTTTTCAAAAATTTATAATTTTAAATGATTAAAAATACTAGATATTAATGTAGAACATATATTTTTAAGAAATTCTCAAAATATGCTAAACATTGCAAGACTTTAAACTTACGAGAGTAAATAGATAATATTAAAATTTATTAGCGTTTAAATTGACAAATGGTATTATTTTTATTAAAATCTATTAGTGTTTTGGTGTCACAAGGTATACCTTTATCAGTAGGGTGAAATACCTTTTATCCTTCGATACCTACTGATGAAGGTGTACCTTGTAACACCGTATTGCTTATAGGTTTGAATGAAAATTTTTATTCTTAGGTTCATTTCTAAACTGAAGAAAAATTTTATGACACAAGCCTGAACTAAAGTAATTTTTAAAATATTAAAAATATTCATAATTCTATTTTTATTTTATGGTGATCCCACTACTGCACCGAATCAGAAAAGACGTTAACAAATGCATTACAGAATGTAAATCAATATAAACTTATACAAATGGTTATGTATTAATGTAATCCCATATCCGGACGTCCATTTACCAGAAACTTCTATTTTCCGTACATTTTTTTTTACAATCAAAATAAACAGCTCTTTTTCAAAAAAAAATTTATGGTGACAGTCTGTCAACACTAAGAAGACTGAAACTTAGTATATACCAATATTGCCCAAAAGCAGTCAAAATGACTGGATTGTAAAAGAATAACTAATGTGTAAAGAAATTTGTTTAAAATTAATTTTTAATTTTTTTTATATTATTTACAATTATATAGCAAGTTATTAGTAAATATTAACAATAAAAAAATTATATGTTGTACAAAAAGCCTCAAAATCCTAAGAAATTGTGTCATTGATTTTCTAATTGAAATTAAGAAGCAGTCAAAATGACTTCCTTGGGCAATCTAGTGTTAAATAAGATATTAATAAAAATAATTATATCTTTCTTCTTGCTGTTTTTCTAATACCTAAATATTTTATTTGCTTCATTAAGCACAATAAGAGAGTTGTTGAAAAGATGAGAACAGTTAAAGAAAAACTAACTTTGGTAAGAATTGTCAACTATGATTATCAATAAAGATGAACATAAATAGTTATAAATAAAATAGTTATATTAAACAGATCAATTTACTTTTGGAATGCAAGGCTTTTTTTTAATGTTATTTTTATCTGATTATCTGCCTACTTAATTCTTCACATCAAATGGGGGGGGGGGAGAAACGAGTCCTTTTTTTTCATGAAAAAGAAAGATCAAATTATCAGCTGCTTTCTTTTATTTATTTTTAATAAAATGTTGTGTGAAATTGTTAATTTAATAATTTTTTTTTCATTGAATAATGCGTGTTACGATACTTGTTTAAGACCCATTATACGGAAAAATCTATTTTCAGGACTTGCCTATGATTCAGGACTTTCAATTGTATTTTGGTTAGCTTCGAAAAAAAACACTGATTTGAAAATTTTTAAAAAATAAGCACTTTTTTTTAGCTAGTTTCATTTCTTTTTAGTACTCGTAGTGCCAGTGGGTGGTGGGAAAAGTTTTGCGATGAGCATTTGAGCTGTTTCCTTCTATATTATTGGGTCTATTAATTATGTTGACTCAAAATCTAGTCAGAACTCACTACATTGAAGATTATATAATCTATCTATGGTAATATTGTAGAGTCTCTATAATTTGAGGTGGACAGGAAAGGACCTAACTCCTACTACTGAAGACACAAACTGTCAAAATCATAAAAATTGAGTATGAAAGTAAATAAAATGATAGAAATAAAGCAATTTTCAGGTTTGAGTGTAGTTTATATTTAAATGAAAAATGTATGATGATCCAGTCACCTTAAGCGCACTGTTCGTCACAGTAATTTTATTTTCTCTTTTACAGGAAACTTTATTATTTTTACAGTCTGCGACAATACTTTTTTAAGCATTGTAGCACTCATTTTTCCAGGGGCAGAATTAAACTCTGGCATTAAATTATAAAAATATTCCAAGGTTCCATCACAATTTAGTTAAGTAAAAAAGTTGGCTACAACTTTTAATAAAGATCTTAAAAACCAGAAGAAAGTATGATATTTTGACGGTTATATTCTCTTTACACCCATCAGACCATTTGACATATTAATGCCACTGATTATTCCATTGTCCTTGAAATATTCTGCAAAGTATTATATTATATTGAAAATATTTAAATGATGTATTTCAATTAGCAAACAATTTCTGTTCAGTTTTATTGTCAAAAAGTTTAATGCACTATCATATATTTGTTTTTGTGGCCTTGTTATCGCGTATCCTTGTTTCTGACATGGGCATTAGATTTAGCATGGCTTTCAGCATTTGGAGCAAATGCTCATTTGGAAGTGCAAAAAAAATTAATAATAATAATTAAACAAGAAGATTAAGAGATGAGAACTAAGAACATAGTTTTTAAGTAGAATTCTGTTTTGTTAAAAAAATAGAAATTGGTTTTATTTTTTGAAACCTTAAAAAGTTTTTTTTTTTTTATCCTGTAGGATGATTGCGAATTTGAGGCAATAGCACCTGAACTAAGTTTTGATGATCTGGAAAAAACTGTGGAACCAATTATTTGTGAATACTTTGAGCATGGTGATACAAAGGAAGTTATAGTATGTACTTATCAGTCTCTCTTTTTATTATTGCTTAAATTTTGCTAAAAACTTTTAAAAGAAAATTATATGGCTTGAAATTGACGGAGATCCATTTGTCCAAAGCCACTAAAATCTTACTGGGACTACTAATAATCAGTGGTCCCTCTTACCAATGACCAATCTATACAGGGAAATGATGCTTATTTTTTTTTATTTATTTATTTTTTTTTGCGTTGATTGAAACAAGGGAATTCTTTCCTTTGATTTGCATGTGCACCTGTTTAGAGAAGCTTGACTTCTGGGCTTCTATCAAAATTGCTAACTTTTCTGCGAAAGGAAAATGAAGTGGAGGAATACAGGGAGGTAAGCCAGTCACATAGTGTTAATCAAACGGCAAAGAATTTCCTAATAAGTAGTTTCTGTTTTGATTTGTTTGAGCTACCTTATTTCTTAGCGGGTGTTCAGTCTTAATAGTACTCATTATGATATTTTGAGAATCTTTTGTTTTCTTCAGAAATTTATTAAATGTATTTATCTTTCCAATTAATACTTTTTCAATTTCACAAGCTTGAGTATGATGTATTAATTATGACTTGAAAAGCTTGAAAATTAATGCAGTTATTTAAACTATATTGCAACTAAAAATTGTTTTACTATTCTGTATATCTTTTTTAAAACATTGGGTTGTATAAAAATTCATTGAAATTTTTTTTTTTCTAAATTTTTCGAAGTCATATATTTCTATAAAAGTTAATCAATGATATATGTTTTCTTTTGTAAAGTGACCTTCAATGAAAATTGATTGTATATATTTGCCACATATGTAAATTTATTACAGAAAAAAAATTTCTATGAAAAGTGCAAATATCAATAAAAGAATTCTAAGTTAAATTTTAAATTATAAAATGCTTTTACACTGAAGAGCCAAAAAAAACTGGTACAGGCATGAGTATGCAAATAAAGGGTGGAGCCAATCAAAGTATAGCGCTGTGATCGGCAACACGTATATAAGACAACGAGTGTCTAGCACAGCTCTTAGATCGGTTACTGCTGCTACAATGCCAGGTTATACAGATTTAAGTGAGTTTGAACGTGGTGTTATAGTCGGCGCGTGGAAGACAGGACATAGCGTCTCCAAGATAGCAATGACATTTGGATTTTCATGTTCGATCATTTCACGAGTATACCTTGAGTATCGGAACTCCGGTAAAACATCAAATACATATCGCATGCATATTTGGGATGCTTTGCAGCGTGATGTTCAGAAGATATCCGCACCCCCTCTTACTCCGACATGGACAGCCCTGCAGGATTCGTGGTGTCAATTATCCAGCACTACTTCACACATTGATCGAATCCATGCCACGTCGTGCTCGCGGGGGCTCTAGGCAATATTAGGCAGGCATGCCAGTTTTTTTTTTTTTTTTTTTTTTTTTTTTTTTTTTTTTTTTTTTTGCTCTTGAGTGTACTTTTTGTGATCAGGCATGATAGTTTTCTTTAGAAGCATAATTTTCTGTTTCCCATTTTTTGTCTAAATTTTTTTTATCATTTTTTCATTCTTTGTAATATTTCTGATGACACAAAAAAAAACACTCTAACTCTGCTAAAAAAAAATTCTATGATTCACTTTTCAATATCCATAAAACCTATGCTTCCCACCCAACTTTGACTCTTTTAAGCATCAATTTCTCAAGTGGTAGTGCTGAGATAATTGAAATGCATTTGTGGGTAAAAATAATTTCCTACGACCAAGGTCAAAATCATTTTGAAATAATTTTATAAATCCAACAATTAAAAAGAAACTTAAAATTTTATGACCATTTTAAATATAAAAATTAAATACTATGGATAATTTGTAATAGATGGCAGCTAGGAAAAACTAATCAAAGTCAACTTTAAAGCACTTCGGATTTTTCAATGCTGCTTGCTGATGAGGGGATTATTGGCTAATTAATGTTTCTAAAGTTAAAGTTGATCACAATAAGTTCTTGTTAATTAAAGAGTCTTTCATGCTTATTAAGCTTTCATGCTTTTATTAGAATTTAACTCACTAACATTCCTTTATACCTAGATTATTTGAATGATTTTCATATATTACTTACTGTATTGTTATAATTCTATTGTAATTTATACTATATTTTTCCTTTTGTTAAAAATTAAAAAAAAAAAAACTTGATGTAAAGTATTATTATGCAGTCTTAAATTTGATATTTTCCATCCCATTTAAGCAGCATATGAAGAAAAATGTCATTAGTTATTAAATTTGATGCATTCTTCTTAATTTTTTTTAATTTCAGGTCTTTTCTCTTTTTCATCTTTCTTGCAGTCTTTTGCTGCCATAAAATAATCTGAATATTTGAATAAGTTATGTAAATATATATATATGGATTTTAGAGTTGATATAAATTAACTAATGGTAAATATTCATCAAAATCTTTCAGTAGAAGATTTTGATGCATATTTCTCTTAATTCACTGATATGTATTCTATTTTTCATGTACGTGACACATTATAGCACCCACCTCAGCTACAACTATTGGTGATATGCACAATTGTTAGTTATTGTCTTGAGCTAAAATAGTTTCATTAAAATAATAGATTAAATAAATTTTCTTTAATATGCTTTCTTCCCTTAGGCTTGTCTTGGTGAGTTGAATTTTGGTAAGTTAAGATCGCAGATTGTGTGGTTCGCTATTAATCTTGCCATGGAACGCAAGCCTTCATTGCGAGAGATGACATCTGTTTTGCTTTCTGATATGTATGGACATATTCTGCGTCTTGAAGATATAGCTGCTGGGTTCGATAATTTATTACAAAGCCTCCCAGATTTAATTCTTGATACACCAGATGCAGCCACTGTAAGTAGATTTCTTTCTTGTTCATTACTAATTACTCATAAGCAGAGATGAACAGATCACCCAGAATCACACCAGGACTAAATCACCCAGAGGGCTAACCATTATAACTTAATCTTTAAAAACCTATGTTTTTATCGATTAGATTTTTTAATACAATAGTATTGTAACTCAAATTTGAATATTCACTTCTTATGCGCTCCATTCGTGAGGATTCCATCTTAAATAATCTACCTGGTTTTTTTACATTACTTGCATAGTGTTGCACGGTTCTGAATATTCTGAGTTTACCACTCTTAAAGTTTGCTCTTTTAGACCCTCGAGTTTCAATAAAATCTTTTATTAAAGATTCGTCGAATCAAAGTAAACTTAATTTTTCACCTCATATAATTACAATTGCCATATTGAGTTCATTTTGAAACTTAATATCTGTTATTAAAAGCCCTTGCAGAAAGCCAGAAAAAATTCTGTTACAGGGTTCATAATAATTTTATTGTAAAATTCAATAAATGAAATTTTTTTAATTTCCTTGCCAAAATAACTTTTTTTTTTAAATATATATATATATGACATTAATGTATTTTTAAATTTTATAAGATAATAGTATTTTATTTATAGATTGCAAAATTTGGCAAAAACAATTTTTTGATAAAAAAAAATTTAAGCTCAATTTTATATAAATGTATTGTTAATACAAATTGTATATTATATTACTTATGCATCATAATTATATTGTTAAAGCCTCAATGAAAGTAAAATATCACTTAGTGAATTTTGGATTTTTTCGGCAATTTTGTTTTAAACTACTGTTTTTAAAATTTATATTGGCTCTGTAGGGAAGTACAGAGTTTTTTATGATTTAAATTAATATTCATGAAAATTTATTAGGTTACTTAAAAGTAAATTTTTTATTTGTTTTTCAACACTCCTATTTTTTTTTTTTTTTAAATCCTCCTATTTTCTGAAAATTTTGACTGCTGCCTTTAGATGATGCATTAATTATTATGAACAAAATTTTTTTTATCATCTGCAATGTTTTTTTATTTGATATCTTTTAAAGAAACATTATTTTTTAATTGAAGGAATTTTGATTCCTGAAAGGTGCGATTTCATCAGCAAGTTTTGCCTGATGTGGAATCGCATCTACTTTCGTTAAAAATCGCCTGCTTTTAAAAGATTTTTTCCGTTTGGTAAAATGAATAAAAACAAATGGTTGTTTATTTATAACCATAAGATTATTTAAGGCTAAAAGCAGGCGATGTTTAAAAAAGCAGATTGCAACATTCTCTTTTTACAAGTAATACAATTCTGATTCTGCATTGTTTTGAGTTTCTTTTTTTTTTTTTTTTTTTTTTTTTTTTTTTTTTTTTTTTTTTTTTTTTTTTTTTTCTAAGTTGATCACATTATATCCTACTTTATCCTCCTGGGTTTTAAAATTTAGTTAGTGCTTGTTCTAACTTTCATTTCCATCTGGTAGTTTTTAAGTGTTGTTTTTATTTAATTAGTTTAATCATTTATCAATGTTATTTTATCATTTTCTTTCTTCCTTATAATTAGGTCCTTTATTTTAAACTAGTTGCAGCACTGATCAAATACGTTATACAAATAAAAAAGCCAAAAAAATAGGCACTTTTATGACAGTTTTCTTGAAAATTTACCGATCCTTAAGGGGTTAACATAAATTTAGTTGAAATTTTTCTGGTGGAAAAAAGTCTTTGAATTTTACGCATGGCCACTATTTTTTTTCAAGAAATATGGCAATGTGAAAAAGTTAGGTTGAAATTTTATAATATGTAATTTTTTACTCATTTATTTATTTTGATTTTAAAAAAATTAAAAACTATTTTTATTTTGGTTTCTATCTAACTTTTCCGTTTTTAAAAACAGTTGTTTTTATTATGATGTGGCAATTAAGAGGGTAAGGCGTTTTTCTGGTAGCACTGTATTTCTATAGATTATATCTCACTTAACGTTTTATGGATAATTTTTTCTATTTCTTTTTTTCAACTTCACCACTTTAGCTTTTTTAATAGCGATTACTCAGTTTTTTATTTATTTTAAATATTTCTAATTATCTCAATATATAATTATCTTTATTATCTGAAATATTTCATTATAGTTTTGTTTTCCTTTACCTCCTATTTATTATAGAAATATTTTAATATAGCTTTGTTTTCCTTTCCTTTACCTGAAATATGTATGTATTTTAATTAGATGCGTTTTCTTGTGAACATAAGTCTTTATGACAAATAGATAGAAATGCTTGGATGTTATTTTTTATTTTGTTATACAGTAGACGCCGCTTAATGTGATCACATCGGGACAAACGTGATTTGATAACAATAACCGATTGATTACAATAAAAAAAAAAAATTAAGCTAAAAAATGATTTTTTTACATACGTATTAAAATAAAAATTATTTTAAATTAGGAGTTGTTGCTGTAAGACTCTAAAGTATTTAATAGAAATTAATGTACACTAAAGAAAAAGAATTAGTATACTTACATATTTAATGATGAACTGCAGAAAACAATACAAAATACAAAAGGTTAATTATTAACTGAAAAAGAAATCATCAATTGTCGATTGTTTAGCATTCTTTCGAAGCAAGTCATTTACGAATCGCTCATAATCATAATGTTTATGAAAGTGTTCCGCGTCGGCTTTGTTTTGCACACCTAGCCGTAAGACTCGAAGTGCCTCCCTCATCTGAGCAGGCGTCGGAATTTTGTCCTCGATAGCACTTTCGGGTTCATCATCGGCATCAGAATCTTGTGACGAAGCTGGATCTTTGACACATACGGCTTCGCAAATGTCCTCATCAGTTAACGAAGTAGAAGTCTCAACCTTCTCGTCGATCTCCATCCATGCTTCAAAATCCTCAGCATTCATATCGGGCGGGGGATTGAAAACGTCTTCCATTTCTTTCATTACAGCAGCATTGTTGTCCTCTGGTTGACAAAATCCTCCATGACTAAAACAATTTCGAATTGTTTTTTCCGAGACATTATTCCATGACATTGTTAACAAATGTATGGCATCCAAAACATTTGTTTTTTTGGCTAGAGCGTTCGCATTAAGATCTTCAGCGTCTTGGTCTTCCATATTTTCGAAGATCCTTGAACGCATTTCCTTTCTGTAATATGCCTTCAAGGTGCGGATAATTCTCTGGTCACAGGGTTGAATTAAAGAAGTGGTGTTTGGTGGTAAGAACACGACATTTATCTTCTCCTAATAACATGTGTTTAAAAGATAATATACGAGCCCCGTTTGAACTTTTGGTAAGTTTTAGAAAACACTTTAAACAAAAACAAAATTTTCCTTCTTGTTTTTATTGATTTCAAGAAAATAAAATTTGCATCTAAACTGATAACAATAAACGAACATTTGATTACAATAAACGATGATTTTTCAATGTATTTTGATATAAGCGGACGTGACTAAGCTATTTTGATAACATTAAACGATTGATAACATTAACCGTGATCACATTAAGCGGCGTCTACTGTAATTTGTTTTTTAATATCCATCCCGTAAAATATAATTTATTTTTTATTGAAATTTTTGTTATTATGTTCTGTTTATTGTTTTTGTTTGTAATGTGACACTGATTTTTATTTTAAAATTGTTGCGCACATGTTAACGCTCATATCTTTTGATTGTTAGAATGTTAACAGTCTTATTTAAAATGTTAGTTTTTTTTTTTTTTTTCTTAACTAAATTTTGTTTCTAGGTTTTGGGAAATTTTATTGCTCGAGCTGTAGCTGATGACTGCTTACCTCCAAAATTTGTGCAAAGCTATAAAGGAAAAGTTGAATGTGTTCATGCTAGGTATTTATTTTCTTTTAATTGCCAGGCTTCATTCGCACCGGGATTATTGCGGTGGGATATCATCAGGGAGTGGGGGAAACGAAATTCGAGAGAAAAGTCAGTGAAAAACATAATTTTTCCCTGAAACCGGGAATTGTCTGTGAAAACTTCTGCCTTAAGAGTTTTGATGTGTTTTTAATCAACTTTTGTTTCTCACTTTTCAATATCACTTTCGTTGCCAAAGTTGAGCAACACTGTGTGTGTGACTAATCCCCTCACTGTCTAGCGACAGCTAGACATTATCAATGAGTCCATATACTCTCAAAAAATCTAGGGCAAGCAACTGGTCTATCGCATAAGTCTCCTTAGAAATGTGAAGACAAGCCAGTATGTGCTCCGGGGAGGCACTCTCCACGTCGCACTTTGCACAAACCGGGAAAACCCTGTTGCCATTGCGAAAGGTGGTCGCTCCTCAGGTGGCCGCTGGCAAATCTCGACAACGCCGTCTGGTCGGCTCTATCACAGGAAAGGCCATGTGTAGCCCCCAGGACATCTCCGCCAATACCAATCATGGGATGGAAGGACCCTCCAAGACTTTAAGTGATTGTTTTTTCTGATGGAGTAAAGCTCGTCAATAAGGCAACTGAATACAATGGCTCGACTGAGCCCTGCTTTGCCAAGTCGTCAGCGACCTCATTTCCATAAATCCCCACATGCGAGGGAATCCGTTGGAGGTGTACTTCATGAACCACAGCAATCTGTCTAAGTAATTTCAAAATAGCTATGCTAGTGCGGTCACCAACATTGAACCAACTCTTCAAGTGCTGCAATGAACTCTTGCTATCAGACAAAATCCATACCGCTCTATAATTAATTTAATTCAAAATGGCCTCTAGACCGACCTCAATAGCCAACAGTTCCCTTCTAAACTCCGAGCAATTGTCCGGGTTTCTATTTTTCTGACTTCGCTATTAAGAGTCTTAATATATACTCCACTCCCGGTTTGATGTTCTTTATTTTTGCTCCCATCTGTGTAAATTTGGATATCTACTTCCGGGATTTCGTTGATTATCTCAAGTGCCAGCTGCCTCATATGATCCGGGACTGTACTTGCTTTATTCACTGCCTGTTATAGTTCGGTGTGGAAGAATACTTCCCTTAAACCCTCCGATGGATCAATATAATATTTCAGGGAGTGGCGTTCAACCTCCCGACTGAATAAATTCAACTCCGTGGCCAGGCTCATTGGACTGTTTTTCTTTAATCTTTTGTTACTTTTCCACCCTCCTAGACAATCCGAGGTGAACGATTATGAGAGCCATAACTTATGAGTTTGTTAAAATATTTCTGTACGTCAGCTCCACCTCTGTATCTCAAAGGCTGTAAGTATGCCTCATACAAAACGATTTCATTAGGACAACTGTTTCTCAAACCAGTGATTGTGCGAGCCGCACTCAACTGAACTCTTTCTAGTTTCTGTAAGTTGGTATTTGAAGCGCAAAAATATACAGGTTATCCATATTCTAAAATAGGTCTTATAAGGGCAATCGCGTACATCTAAGTGTTTCAGCATTAGCTCCCCAATCTCTTCCTGAGATATATTTGAGTATATTTAGTGTTCTCCTGCCGTTATAGATTAAGTTCTCAATATGTTTTTTGCAGTTGAATTTGGAGTCCAATATAAACCTTAAGTATTTAGGATGTTTTACTCCATTTATATTTTGTCCATCGAACCTAACTCTAGATTCGTAATTATATAGTTTTTTGTTAGTTGTGAAGAAAGTGGCATAAGACTTATTGGCATTAAAGTTCAGTTTATGCTGAACAGCAAACTCACTCAGTTCATCCATAGTCACATTCACTTCTGACTCAATCATGTCCACTTGGGCCCCTGATTTTCATAAAACTATGTCATACACAAAATTCCAGCCTCACACCGCTTGGTGAGTAACTCCTCAATGCCCATCAGATAAATGGCAAAGAGAAAAGGGCTCAACACCGAACCCTGAGGTACTCCCTGGCTTAAATAAAGTTTGTGAGAGATAGTATTATTATATTTGACCCTAATGACACGTTGCCTCAGGAAATCATAGATCCAAGCCAAGGCCCTGCCTTTGATCTTACCTTGTTCATGCAGTTTGATAATTAATTTGTGTTTCCACACTCTGTCAAATGCCTTTGACAGATCAAGGAAGACTGCAACAGAGTGATTTGTAGACCAATTGTTTTGTGCATCCCTGATCTTCTGGCACATATAGAGAACCTAATTGGTAGTCATAAGTCATAATTGGTTCAGCCATATGTCTCATCAATAACGTCATATTGCAAATGAGGGAATAATACGTTCTTGTAGAGAGATCTTCTAAAGATAACCAGAAACTTGATTTTTAAAGGGGTGATTCGTTTTACTCATTTACTGCACCTGCTATACAATTCCGGGAAAAGGGATTTTTATATGCCAGCCTACAACAGTAGAACAATGCTTTATGTTTCCTCTTACTTTTGAAAAATTTTATTTGACAGAAAATTTGAATTGTGTGTTTCAAATAATAGTTGCTTTCTTTAATGTATTGACCTTACCTATTTCTTGAGAGGCATTTTTTTTCCTTATAAATCTAATACAAATAAAAGTTTAAAAAACAAACTTAATAAATTTATATTTTTCTCTTAAATAAAAACAATACAAAATTATTATTTGTTCAATTAAAATAATTATTATGAATAAGTAAGAATCTAAAAATTTTAAATTTAATATATATAAAAATATTAACAATAATTCTATATGGGTCATTCTCACGAAAACTGTCATTTTTCAGTTCATAAAATCCCGAAAAAGTAAAGTGAATAAAAAGCTCTGAAACTTTTTATATTAATAGAAATATGTAATGGCATTATAAAGAAAGTATATATCCTATAAATTATACTTAATATTTAAATTAATTAATTTTTTAAATAATTAATTTATAATTAATTAATTTATAATAATTAATAATTAATTAATTAATTTAATAAATAAATTAATTAATTTAATAAATTAATTTATTAATTTTTTAATTTATTTTTCAAATTAATTAATAAGTAAATTAATTATTTTCACTATTTAAAAAGTGAGGGAATGACACTAATAGTGAGGGAATGATATTTTATTTTAATACATGTTTTTATCTAAGTTACATCTACCTAAAGTTTGAAAATGATAACATACTAAGTATATCTAATATTTATTATAATTTAGTCTTATATATTTAATAGTTTTTACAGGTTTGGGAAATAAAATTGGCTGGCACGATTGAACAAAAAAAAATTTAATAATATACTCATCTTGAATCATTCCCTCACTTCAGCGTCATTCCCTCACTTTATACACTAGTGAGGGAATGACGAATTCAATAAAATTTAAAAATAACAGTTAGGCCTAATTAATTTCTGAAGTCAATCACATACAATTATATTCATACAAGAAAGCAACATATAATTATCCACTTTCTCGATGAAGTTGTATTTTATTTTACTCTAAAAAATGACATGAGGGAATGACAAATGTAAAAAATTTTACCTGGTTTGATTCATTCAAATTTATTCCACAGCAAAGCTTCTTTAAGTTGAAGATGGAAACATACTGCAATTTTGTTCTATGATGCCAGTTGTTAACTTCTGAAGTTTTTATTAAAATATTTTTATTCTAAGAAGATTGCAGGTGATAAGAACATTGTTGTGAGGGAATGACGCGAAACACTGGGGACAAAGTTTAAAATAGTGCTGTGTTAATATTTTTATCAGAAATTAAATTTAAAATTTATTTTCTGAATTCTATATTTCAATATTCTCAAATAAAAAACACAAATTTGTAAAAAAAAATTTTTTATTTCAGAAACAATTTTTTTCTTTTTTTAAATCAGCAGTGGGGACAAGTGAGGGAATGACATATTGGTATATTTTTATTACCTAAAATTAATAAAAAATAAAAATTGATAATTTTATTTTTATTCTTTTGTTAGCTTGCATTCTGAAGGACACTTTCCCTGAAAATTTTTTTTCGTAAGTTGTAAAACAAACATAAAATATACTGGGGACATGAAAATGACTGTTTTTGTGAGAATGACCCATATATGCTGCAAAAATTCGTTTCTAAAATCAGAAAAAAATTCATAGCTGCTATTAAATATATTACCGTCATTGAATTATTGTAGTATTGAAAGGTAATTTTCCCTAGTGTAAATTAAAAGAATAATAATGAAGGAATTGTAAGACTAAAACACTAAAAAAAATTTAACGAATACTTCCATGTAAATAGATGGTATAACAAGGGAATGAAAAGCTAATTTTGTGTAAGAAAATTATAAAGTCGTTTTGTATTGTGAATAATAAAAATTCTATCCTTTGTAAAAAATTTATTCTTCAACCTTGATTAAAAATTATGGGCTTAAAAATCACTTTTTATATTTTAATAGTTTGTTTTATGTATCTAATATTTTTATGTTTTTAGTAGATGATTAAAAGAAATTTTTGACTGTAAATTAAAGGAATATTAGTTGTTTAAAAATAAGATAAGTGTTTAATGAAGAAAAGTGTTAATTATTGCTATAAACTTTACTGAGTAAGCAACTCGGTAGGGTTTTAACCCATTAAGCGTCTAGGATCTCAGTATCATTTGTATTTTCTCTTATTCTAGTTCAGGAAATTTTTATGTATTTTAGAGAGAGGGCAAACAATTTTGGGATTTTTTTTTTTTATTATTAATTTTTTGACGAAATTCTCTTTCTCTCTCTATTTTTAACTGAAAAAGATAATTTGCAGTAGTACAATTAATTTTTAAATTTTCATTTCCAGTGTGAAAAAAGTGTTGTTGTTTCTAATCCCCAAGAGGTCCATCCTAATTAGACCAATTCCATAAGCCAAAAATGTCCAGGAAGTCTAAAAATAGATGAGGTTTTGAAAAAACCTTGTTGATCTTAAAATCGATACAGTTTAGAATATGTTCGGGCGAAGCCTGAGCAGTCCTACATTTAGTGCAAAGTCCGAAAGTCTTTCGCCCCCAAACATACGAGAGACACCTTAAATGACCACTGGCAAAGGACGTTTTCTGAAATACCAGCTATGCAGAGGAGAAACCCTNGGAGGAGGAACCCTCCAGAGGTCCATAAAAAAATTTTTGCACTCTGCAAAGACCTCGTTGTAAGTGGAAAGTAAATCTGGCTGTAAAGGTTCCAAAGAAGCATCTTTAGCCAGTGAGTCCGCCATCTCGTTACCTTTGATTCCAACATTCCATGAAAGTGCTTCAATGAAGTACTTGGAAAACAAAAGGTTTCAAGGCATTGAGCTATTATTCCCTTATGTTTTCCTCTTTTTTTTATTTTTATTTAAAAAGGATTGAATCATTTGTTAATCATGAGCATTGAATATCATGTCTGGCAGGAATTTAATTTTAATGATGTAACAAAAGACTTGGCCTCTCAAAAAGCACGAAAAGTACTGTTACCTTAAACTTTCAATACTAATAATGTATTAACGCTTTTATAATAATTTATTTGTTTTTCAACCTCATAGTTTTTAGAAAATTATTAAAATTTAAACTTTTTTTATACTAAAATTAGTCATAAAGAGCTCCCAAATAACAACAGGCCAAGGACCCCAAAAAAATAAAAGCTGCTCTGCTCCTGAGAAAATGGTGTTCAGGGGGAGCTGCCGCGGGCTTGTTGCCTTGACAACCGTGACTTCCACTATAGAGTGAAATGGAGTTCTAGGCCATTTCATTTGACCGCCGATATATGATTTCTTTTGTTTGGCTGATTTTAGGAATTTTAAATATTGGGAACTGCCCTGAATTCTGTCAAAACCTCGATTCTTATACAGGCGATTTTAATATAAATCATCGATTTTTAGTATTTAACTTATTTAAAAGTTACGTGTTGCGATTTGTTTTCACTTGATTTAAAAATCGTATTCTCAATTCCCATTCACGCAATTTAAAAATCTAATATCGCGATTTGTATTTAAGCACTTATAAAACCTAATTTTAAAACCTGATATAGTATTTTCGAGAGAAACCAATGTCACTATTCATATTCACGCATTTTTAAAATCCAATATTGCGATTTATTATCCCTCCATTGTAACATCGATTTTCGTATTTATTCGTGATTTAAAAACTACCCATTGCGATTGGTATTCACGTGTTCTAAAGATTATGCATTATGATTCTCATTAACGTGATTTAAAAATTCAATATCGCAATTTTTATTTTCGTGTTTTTAAAATCCAACATCGGGATTCATATTCAAGCGACTTTAAAATCCAATATTGCGATTCGTATTCGAGCAATTTTAAAATCCAATATCGCTATTCTTGAGAGAAGTAAATTCCTTCTTAAATTATTTACTATAAAGATGTGATATTCTTCATTAGTAAGTAATTTAGTTATGTTAAATTTGAAACGTGTATGGTTTATGAATGTATGGATATTTTGATTTTTTATGTTTTTGGGTCATAATTACCCTTGATTGGTTTATGCTTTATGTTCCTATTTTTGTTTTTAACGGCAGCTAGGAGTGATGATGAATGTATTTTAATGATGGTAGTCAAATTGAAAGGCAAACATAACGTACGATCGATGCTACTGAAAAAAATTTATTTAAATATTATTGGTTCATTAAAACATTCAAAGTGTCTAAAATTGTTAGTAAGAATCTATCAGAAGATATTGAGGTGAGAGTTTCAATATTAAATTATTGGCCGGTAATTAATTAAAAATGATAATTAAGCTGCGGCATCCTATATAGCAATCAGTTTTTTTTCCTTCTCCTTGAGCATTTGGTAGTCTTATGGACTTACATTTACTTCAAAAAGATCTACACCAGCAATGAGCAGCTCAACACCTGGCATAGTTTCATCTGCAAAGCCAATTTCTGCTTAGCTAATGAATATGTGCTTTAAGTCTCTGTGGACGCACATATTTATTAGCCAATTTTAAAATTATTTTTAAGAACAATTTAAATTTCACTGTCTAAATGCTTCTGCCACTTTAAATACTAAATAAAAATCTCCCGACAGAGTTGCTTTTATATATCTTATTGATATCACATTATTATATGAAACACTCCCTGTCCTCCCAGTGCCTACGTTGTAGAAATTCAGCTTTTTTTATTTTTGTCCGCTTTATTTGGTTCTCTTTACAATCATATTTTACCACAGACATTCAAAAATTATTTAGTATATTTGTTAATGCTAGTTTTGTTCTTTACGTATCACATAAGATGCTTGAGTTTTTTTACAAATAAATATATTTTAATAATTTTAACTAGTATGTTTTCTTTACTCTAACTGTAGATTTGTTATTATAAATAAGTTTAAGTGTACTTTGTTTTTATTTTTGTATAGATTGTTTTAAATGTTCCTCTTTTCTTCATGACTTGTCCAAATCTTTGCTTATTCGGAGGTTGTATACCTAACTTAAAATAGGCCTTATGTAAAATTCAAATCCGACATTTTTATGCATCATGAATTTTATTCTCGACTTGATGTCAATCACCCTTGCTTTTTTTTATACTTGGATTACTTTTCGAAATCAAGAGAGAGCAATGGAAGTCTTATTTTTCAGCACTGCTATTATTGTTTAACATTTATCATCAATTAAGTCCTTGAGAATTTTATAAATCTTCAAAAGTACTTGAATTTTATTTTTAAAGTGGAGCATGAACCCTGTGTGCAGCCCTCATGCAACGTAAATTTAGTGCTACTGCTACCCATTCTCCCTCCATACCAACATTTAATATTTTTATGGTAGTAGAATTAACAAGTTTTAAACAAGTAATAATTTTAATTTCGATTCTCCACCATTCCCTGTAAATATGATTAAATTATCGCAAATCCTATTGACGCTCATTAAAAGTCGCGCTTTTATTCCTAATCACTCGTTTTGAGTTATCAAAATTCATTATCGCTCAATTTGAAAATCCCACATTGTCATTCATAATAATGTGATTTTAAAACTCCTCTATTTTTTATCACACGATTTTAAAATTAAACTATATTAATTGGTATTTACATGGTTTTAAAATCTCACTATGCTATTTGTATTTTTATGACTATAAAAACATATTAAGTAATTTATATAAATTAAAAAACTTGATTGATTTAAAAGTACTACATTGTTACCCATATTCAAGCGATTCAAAAATAAAGCAGCATGGTTAAAATTCACACAATTTAAAACTTCCACATTGTGATTCCTACTTGTCTAGTACTGGTAGATTTTAAAGGAAATATGAAAATAACCTTTTTTCGAAGATTTTTAAATGAACTTTGATACAAGGGTCCACTGAAAGTATTTATAATTTGATAGTTAGTGTAAGCATAGCACAACATAAAATAATTGTCAGTGCCTGGATTCACTTATTTCACAAAAAGTATTGCCCTTCATAATTTTACTTTGTTTTTCTCAAAATTTCAGAGGATCTGGAAATTTGACCTCCCAAAGCTTTGAGAAAAACAAATTTCACAAAGATAAAAAAACATGCGCCTGATAGAGCCTAATAATGTGTGCCTAATAATCCAACCCTGCCTGACTCTTAAAAGTACTGGTTCGTTGTTTTAAAGACTTGATTATAACAGAAATATCTGGTTAATAAAATTGCTGCTTTTTTTGGCCCCTATATAAGGTGTAAGTGAATAAAAAAGATATTTGTTTACATCCATAAGTGTTTATATTTGAAAAAAAAAAGAAAGAGGCATCAAAGTTGGGAGAGAAAAGATACTATGTTTAAATGGGATTTAATTAGCCTTCCAAGTCATTTTTATGCGATTACTTTCTCGTCATTGTATTAACTGAATACTTTTAAAAGTAGTTGAGAAATAAACCATTTCATGAGTTTAATGATTCTGCTCTTCGCCCAAACATTGCATATAATTTCTTAGTGATATTTATAAAATCTGCATATAAATTAAAAATTTTGGTTAAAAAAAAATTACAGTGAAAAAGCTTTTTATTTATTCAATATTTTGAAGCTGTATTTTACTCTCCTTTGACAAACCTTATTGTTTTTCTTATGTTTCGATTTATTTTACAATAATAGTCATTCTTTTTTAATAGAGCTGCATTGGAGCATGCTGATGCTCTTTTGAGCATGAAACATGGTCTTGTCAGACTGGATAATGTTTGGGGAGTTGGAGGTGGAATGAGACCCGTAAAATATTTAATCAACCAGGTTTGTTCAAATTTGAATTCTCAATTCTTCATGCGTTTATTATTTTCTTTTTTTTTCCTCATTGTTTTGTTATCTTTTTAATTTTTCCTAGTTTTCTCTCTCTCTCTCTTTTAAATGATTCATGACTATTATTACTGATGTTTCACTAAAGAAGCAAATCAAATCCTAGAAAACTTAGACATGTCGCTTCATGTCCTTCAAATAAATTTGAGTAATGTGTCTCAATACTGCAACTGTCTTTTCATTAAATATTCTTAAGGCTTATTTCATGTTTTTAAATATTTGTTGTATATAATAACACTTTATGTGAAAAAAGAATACCATACCACACATTTCTTTTTCCGTTTGATAAAACCTTTATCAAATGCTTAAAATGTGCATCAAGTAAATCATCTCAAAGCATGTCAGGAAATTTAAAAATAAAATCATCTGATTTCTTTGTTATCCAGTTATGTGCATCATAAGATAAACAATATCAAACAGAATTAAAATATGACTTCTAAGATCAAATGGATAAGGAATTCATGGGTGTGAGATACCCAAAACAGATAGAATTTGATAAGCTTTGATATTAACTGCATTGTTGTCAGAAGTTAAAGAAATAACTTCAAATTCTTAATTTTCTAGAGATTTGATAACACTTAACATCATTATTTTCAATTGCTCAGAGGTGCTGTTTATGACTGGTATTAAGACAACTACATTTGTGTATTTCAAACGTGTACTTGAAATCATTAAAAGTTTAACTGTTTTAACTAATAATTATTTTCTCCAAATCCAAACACTGAATCACCTTTACAACTCAGTTGTGGTTCAAAATAAATTTAATCTAGTTATACATTTATAAGCAGCTCAGGAGATTTAAAAAACTTTTCTTGGTTTTCAGATGGTTTAGACTGCCTTCTAAAGAATTGTCATGTAGAGAAAACCTGCTGATCAATTACACAAAATGTCTAAAATGCGACAAGGCTAAATGTTTGCTGATATATAATTTTGAATACGCTCTAAGTGAGCAAACATATATGTATACAGCTAAAACTATAGTATTTCTACAGTATCTACACTTATTATCAGGTATATTGGTTAGCAGGTATAAGAAAATAAGTGTAAATAGGAGATCATTCAAGTTGAGGGTGGGGAAGTGACAAATTATTGAATTCTCTCCAATCATTGGCAATCAATCAAGCATAAAGGTGGGGCACGCTGACCGGGTTCTCTTTATTTTTTCTTATATGACTGAAAGAATCTGCTAAAGAAAGAATGTTACCCCCTTCCCCCCGCCTCCAAAATACTACATGGTATGGGGAAGAAGGAATGTTTTGTTTCTCAAGGACGTGTATCCTTTCAGACCTATTCAAATTTTCCATTGTGACTCCCCCTCTACCTTAACGCTTGCCGTTACCCTTTTTCACAGTATTCTTTCAATAAAAAGGTTTCAGGAAATGCCTCTTTTACCAGCCACCTGCATAGGAAAGGAGGGGGAGGGGACTCAGTTGCAGTCTTTTGAAAACAAATCTCCCTCTTTTCCTGCATTCCAAAGGAGGAGCATCACTAAGGGTCACTCAATGGTCTTGGTAGATCTTCACTGCCCCTTTCTGGTGATTTATGGGTTCAATGCATAAATCAGGGCTTCAGTGCAAGCTAGAATAAGAGAAAACGTGTCAAAAGACCTTCTTTTTTTTTTTTTAGGTAAGGGGAAGATGGAGAGATGTTTGTTTATTTTGATTGTTAAAAAGTGTCCAGAAAATCGACCCTTCCGGGAATGGGACGTTACACTGTATTGATTTTAAAATTACGAAATTGATTGAGAATTATTAGTTTTTTCATTTTATTTAGCAAAATCCAACTCTTGATCGTGTTTCCCCGATCAAGCTTTTCTATTAACGATGTCCCTACTTTCTTAGCTTCTGTCCTTTTTTTCTTTGTGCTGCGCAGGTTAGGGGCATTGTTTTTATGTTTATTTTATCTTAGTTGTGTCTTGCAGTCAATTGTGTTATATAGTTATTGGATATTTATTTCAAGTAAGCTTTTGTTCGTACTATTCTTACGTATTTGTCTTGTTTTTATTCTTCTGTATTTGCTTTGTTTTTTATATTGTATATTATGTATTATATTCTTTTCCTGGACTTGGGGTACAGAGATAGCAATTTTAGTCTTAGCATTTTGAAGGTGACTTGTAATGTGATGTGCTCATAACATTAAATTTTTATTGTAAAATTCAATACTTTTCAGATGCATTTGCTTCTTAAAGAATATCTCTGCTCTGGTGATAGTGATGAAGCTTGTCGCTGTATTCGGGAGTTGGAAGTCCCACATTTTCATCATGAGCTTGTATATGAGGTAAATTTATTTAATGATTAAGCTAAATATTGCTAATAAGATACTTTACTTTATTCCTATTTCTTCAATCTTTTTTTTTCTTTCTGTTTTACAGTTCTTAATTTTTTTTTTTTCAATGATAATTTTTTGTTCTTATGCAGTGAAATTTTACTTATGCAGTGAAACACTCCTTTACTTTTAAGAGGTAAGTTTTAGATGTAAGTACTGTAGAAAAAAGGAAATCAGTGAAGAACTCTACAGGTACTGCTGGTTTGTTGAGGTTTCAATATAGACATTTTTAATAAAATGACAATGACTGAAGTTTAAGAATTTTTCAAATTTTAATAATACCATTAAACTTAACTGATTAGTGTAGTTGTTGAGACTTGTATTTTTCTTGTGATTTTGTTCGTTTTTAAATTCAAAAGCTTAAAACATTTGAAGCTTTGTGGTATTTATTTTCAATATAAAATTTTCTAGAGATCCTAACATGCAATATGATGTATTTATTTCATTACTACTTTTTGTTTAAATTATCTTTTCACATACAGTGCCACAAAAATGTTGCTATTTTTTAAAACACCATATTTAGATTTTTACATATTCTTTCAGAAGGCAACTCTTTCAAATTTCTTATTTGATCATTTTATAAAGTAAAACATGTTTAAGATTAATGGAATAGAATTGTTTTCACCATCATCAAAATTAAACNCTGCATATTTTTTCAGAAGGCAACTCTTTCAAATTTCTTATTTGATCATTTTATAAAGTAAAACATGTTTAAGATTAATGGAATAGAATTGTTTTCACCATCATCAAAATTAAACATACAAGTGTATAGTGAAGGAGGAAAAAAAGATAACACTCTGAATAACCTTTCTTCTAATGATCGGATTTGCATTTAATAAAAATCAATCATAATAGTTCTAGGTGTTAATTTCAAATGTGCTAATCGATTTTTGCTAGCTATCAGTCACAAAAACGTACTTAATTTGAATAAACATACCTTTTTTAACCATCAAAACATAGGGGGTAGTAACAATCTGAAAATTTATTATCCCATTATTTTAATCAGGAGACATATTTCTAAAACTAATTGGAACATTTCACAAAATATATGTACTCACTTATAAAACTCTTTAGTTAAAGAAATGTTCTTAGAAAAAAAATTTTAATTCAGTATTTAACATCTTATTTAATAGCAGTTCAAAAAAAGTATAGAATTGTAAGACATGCAAATTTTTACATCATTTTAAACTATATATTTTTGAATGACAAAATACAAATTTGAACGAAATTATTTGAATTTCGGTTACAGAGAAAGTCTTTTTCAGTAAAATATATCTTAATACTAAAAGTGCCTGTTGGATGTAGAATCTTTAAAACAATATTGTTGAATTCCATGCCAACTGAAACCAGTATTAGAATTCCAAGCGTAACAGAGGGGAAATCACACAGGTATTTTATCATAAAAAATGTGTTAAATATAAGTGAAAACAAAAAATGGTGCAATAATATGCGACTTTAAGGTGCAATGTTTAATTAAATGGCATATTTCCCTGTAACTATTTGTCAAATTTGCAAAATGTCCCCTTTGTTACAATGCATTTTTTTGAAGTTAATAAAAATGTGTAAGCAATTTAAAAAGTCTTATAATAATTTATTTTACCTTGAAATGTGATAATTAAAAGAAAAATTCCAAATAAAGATTAGGATGTTCCAAATCACGCAATATAGCGGAAATAACAGTGCATGTCAAAAATGTGGGATTTTATTTCTCCCCTCTGTTACGGACACTTTTAATTACCTGGCAATTAAATTATGAGGCTCTTTCATTATTTCATGCAATTAAATTAAGTATTACACCTTGAAGTAGCATATTATTGCACATGCACAATTTTTTGTTTTCACATATATTTAATACATTTTTTGGAATAAAATACCTATGTGATTTCCCCTCTGTTACGCTTGGAATTCTACTATTGTATTTTTAATTTCTAACTCAAACTGCAATGTGGGGAATAAAACAGGTAAAATAATATATAAATATTGTTAGCAATTCATTAAACCATGGGTGAAAGTATTTCCGTCCTGGGACGGATTTCCGTCTTTGAATAAAATGAAGGACGGAAATTAGGACGGAAGTTTTTGTTCTTCTGCGAAAATATTGGGAGCCATTTCCGAGAACCTAGAACTCCGCAGGTTCTTGCGATTCCGTACGTACGTAGGGAGAAGATGCCTCTACCTTCATTAAACCGGTTCTTGTGGGAGGAACGTGGATGGGGTTACGGCGCATGCGCTAATCTCGACCCCACCCTCTTAGGATTCTCGTACCCGTCGGCTATTGGGGTTCGTTTACTCGCGCTTGTAAACAGATCTAGTTCAGCCTTGATTGTTGGAAAGCTTTCTGAAATTGAAATCTGGCAATTTGATTGTGTTTACATTTTATTTCACCACGCGTTTCAGAGAAACAGTTGTTTATTCTAACGAATTTTTTAAGATGAATTCTGATTCCTATGTTAAGGTTGGAAATGATTTCGATGATAAATCAGTAAAAAATAAATGGAGATGGGAGTGGTTGCAGGATAAGGATTCTAAAGACCGCCCTTTTGCCGAATGGTGTCGGAAGATTCAAGAAGCCGGATGTTGCTATTGTGTTATTTGTTCGAAAAAACTCAAGTATGCAAACAACGGGAAAAAAGTGCTCACGAAACACAGCCAAGACAAAGATCACATAAATCGATTTGCTAGCCAGGAATTGACGCAAACATTGCCTGGGACGTCTGCAGTGATCGCTCCGTTATCGTTGGCTGACAGAATTGCCGATCAAAAAGCAATTGTTACGGCATTTATTAGTGAAAATTGCTTGCCTTTTGCAATTCCTCCGAAATTAATTGAGTTGGGCAAATGTTTATCTGCAGACAAGGTAGCTCTTAAAAACCTATCTATGTCTAGAACTGCTGCAACTTATATAACTACGCACGGAACTGCAAAATGCATGCGTGCAGAGTTAGCAGCTGAATTGAAGGGAAAATTTTTTTCCATCAATGTGGATGAAGCTACTAATAATGCTTCGGACAAAATTATTAATGTTTTGTTGCGATATTTTGACGACAGTCAAAAAATTGTTGTGACTGATTTTTTAGGTTCTAAAAAAGAAAACATAGCCACATCAAAAAATATTTTTGATAAGGTCCTTGGTTTGATCAAAGAAAATGGTCTCTCTCCCCAGCAGATCATAAGCTGCTTGGTTGATAATTGTTCAACCATGCGAGGATCAGTCAAAGGTTTTGAAACTTTGATGAGGAAAGAAAATATATTCCTATTGGATATTCATGGGGATATTGTGCACATAGTCAATAATGCTGCTAAGCAATTTTGCAGTCATTTTGACAATTATATTGAAAATGTATGCAGTAATATTTATTATGATATCCAAGATTCTCCCAAACTGAAATCATATTTTTTTGAATTGCAATGTCTTCTAAATTTCGATGTTGCGAGGAATGTCATTAGATTGATTCCTACAAGATTCCTCCACCTCTTTCAAGTTTGTGAGAGACTTGCTCTCTTAGATGATGCTCTTTTTCTTTTTTATAGTTCCTTTTTAGCACAGGAAGAGCGGGAAAAAAATTCATCATATGAGGAGTCTCTTTACACTTCTAGAGATGTTTCTGAGGTGCAAAAAGGAGAGATCAGTAAATTAATGGTTACCATTGGAAAACAAAAAAGTTCAGCTGCTGGTCAGAAACGAAAAGATGCTATTTTAATTGTGCTATTTAATCAGAGAGAGAAGTACTTGTTTTTGATCAGATTTTACCGGGGGATTCTCATTAAATTCAATTCTTTTACAAAGAAATTTCAAAGTGAAGTTCCGAATATGCATTTAGTCCACGAGGAAGTGTTTTTTCTTTGTAAAGAATTCCTTTCAATGTTCATGGAACCAGAGCATATTCCCAGAGAAAGTGTTCAAAAACTTCTTGAACTTGATGTGAAGGACATTTCCAAACAAAGAAAGGACAAATACTTAGATGTTGGGAATTTTGCTCATCTGATGAGGAATGACCTGAAACCAACTTATTTGAAGGAATTTTATACGAAGCTAAGAGAGGCGTTTGTAGCCTCTAGTATCTATTTGTTGCATAATCTTCCCCTCAAAAATAAAACACTTCTCTATTTATCTTGTTTAAACCCTGCAGTCAGAAGACGAGGATCAACCTTTATTGCTTTCAGCAAATTAGCTGAAGCCCTTTCTAATGTTATCCCAAAAGAAAAAAATCCATAGTTTCTTGAAGAAGTGCGGAGGTATGCAATTGACAATGATGTTGATAAACTTGAAAAATCAAAGATAACTAGAATCGATAGTGATTGGTGGGCGCATATTTTTGAGTTGAAAAACAGTGAAGGTGAACCAAGATTTTCCCTACTTTCTCTATTGGTGAAAGCCTTATTGTCAATTTTTTCAGGGCCCCTTGTAGAAGGGACTTTTAATATCATGGATGATATTGTGACTGATGATAGGTCAGTTTTGACAACTGAAAATTATGAAGCAGTGTCAATAATTAAGTATAACTTAAGAAGAAGACAAATATCATCAGTTGATTTAAAGCCAAATCCTTTAATGAGAAAATATGTTCACAATGCTTACAAATCTTATAAAGATTTTTTAGTTGAAAAAAAAAGTAAGCGAGTTTCAAATTTTACTCGGAAACGAGTTTCAAAAATCTGTGCAGGGAACACTAAAGAGAGAGGTGGAGATAAAAAGGTCATGCATTCTTCTGGTAAAGAAGAACCTTCAAATGTTCCTTCTTCAAATGACAAGGACTTAGAGCCTTTAACAACCAACAAGGACTTAGAGCCTTTAACAGCTAACATGGACTTAGAGCCTTTAACAGCTAACAAGGACTTAGATCCTGCACCAATTAATGAGAATGTTTCTGACAACTTAAAAAGAAGTGCACCAAGTAGTCCAAAAAATTTACCTCCTAAGAAAGTTTTAAAAACTAGCAAAATCACTAGTT